TGATCGGATGAATATACACATGCAGTTGTGCTAATTATGCATGTATTATGGAAACATACAATCTGGTGTGTTTATTATTTTATACTTGAGTATATCCATGTCCAATGACCAGCGTATTATGGAAACATACAATCTGGTGTGTTCATTATTTTATACTTGAGTATATCCATGTCCAGTGACCAGCGTATTATGGAAACACACAATCTGGTGTGTTCATTATTTTATACTTGAGTATATCCATGTGCAGTGACCAGCGTATTGTGGCAGTGTATATTGAAAGTGTATTTCTGATGAGAGTAAAGAGGCAATTTGATTGAAGCGCTCGTACAATGTTGACCTTAGTTAGAAAAACGTACAGCTTTATGGATAACAATATCTGGTTTATTGCATATAGCGACGTTACTTTTCACTCCAGCTTGATAACGGTGTAAGAATCGACATCGAAACGCGGCTATGTGCAAAAAAACAGAAGTTGTTATCCATAAAGTTGTACGTTTTTCTTACTTATTTGCCAACTTCTAGATGCCTCTCAAACAGTTAATGTTGACCGTTGTAGTGACCTTGATATAGAGTGACCTCCCTTGGTTGTTTATATCTCAAGCTCCGCCCAGCGCTTGACACCTTCGTTAACCTAAAAGTTTAGAGATCTACCCTGTGAGGAGCTTGTCTACTGCTTGTTAACAGCTATCGTTACTTCTGAAAATGACTAACAGGTTCTCGATATGGAGGTGAGGTGAAATGGGGTTCAACGTCGCGTCCAAGATTATTGCACTTATATAGCGACGTGCATGCACTTGTATGTGTGTGTGTGTGTGGTTGCTTGTACTAGCCCGGACTGATGCCGATTTATAGTGCTATCACACTGAGATACCATGCCGCAGTTTAACATGAATACTCAACTCAGACACAGTATACTGACTCCTAGCCGACCAGTCCTTGTTTTAGCCCCTTAATGCCGAGCGCCAGACAGGGTAACAACAAGTACCATCTTTTAACATCTTTTGGTATGACGCGGCTGGGGATCGAACCTGGACCTTCCGCTCTCCGGGCGGACGCTCTACCATTAGACCACGGAGGCGGTCTCTCGATATGAAAGCCTCTGGAAGGTTGACTGTACCTACATAAGAGCAAGGCGAGGGCGATTTGACGCCTTCCTTCGGCGACCTGACTTACGTCTTTCTACTTGCCCAGTGCGCACGGGTTACCTTTGGGAAAACAACGACTTTTCTGCCTGTTTTCCTGGATTCAAGAACGGAGCATCTGCCTCACTGAAGACATGCAGCTGTGACAAATACTGCACATTGGTGATAGCACGGACTTACGCCATGGAGCCAAATATTGATTGCTGCTGCTACCTGCTCGACCCATTGTATTGCCTGTCGTAATTCTATACCTTATCCTGCGTATTTGAATATAAATTGTTCATTGTTTATTGATGTTATGTGGTTATTTATTAATTTCACATTTTAGTTTAACTTGTACTGATTTCAGGTTTAATTTTTTCGTTTCAATTTGAGAATAAATACGTAACATAATAAAATTTGTGACAGATAGTATCCTATATGCTATTGTGCTGAGGTAAGGTGAGGGGTAATGGAGTTTAACGTCGCGTCCAGGATTATTGCGCTTATATAGCGACGTGCATGCACGTGTGTGTGTGTGCGTGTGTGTGTGTTTGGCTGCTTGTACTAGTCCGGACTAATGTCGATTTATAGTGCTAGCTCACTGAGAAACCATACCACAGTTTAACATGAATACCCCGCTCAGACACAGTATACTGATTCCGAGCAGACCAGTCCTTGTTTTAGCCCCTTAATGCCGAGCACCAGGCAGGGCAACAACACGTACCATCTTTATACGTATTATATGGCGCTGCCGGGGATCGAACCCCGGACCATCCGCTCTACGGGCGGACGCTCTACCACTAGACCACGGAGGCGGTCTTTAGTCTTGAGCCGTTTGCCATATAGTATTCTAGTTTTGGCACCAGGTCGTTTTGCAGGACACATAGTCTCAACATTTAGAAATGTTATTCACATATGCTACATAAGTTCTTTACCCAATAAGACCGGGGTGCTTGTATACTGTGCGGGGGTCACGGGTGGCCCAGTCGTCTTAGGCGCCGCGATTCGCTGTGCAGAGTTGCGTCCCTGGGGCACGCCAGAAACCTATGATTGTGGGCTCGAATCCCGGTTCGCCCCGATTATGTTTCTAGGTTTGTCAGCACCATACCCGTGCTCGTGGGTTTCACCGAAGTGGTAAACGTCTAAGACCTGCATCACTTCGTGCTTTTCTCCCACATTAAGCTGACACGCCGCGATATAACTGGAATACTGTTAAAAGCGGCATTAAACCCAACTCACTCACACTCACTGTATACTGTGCACAAGAGGTTTTAATGAAGAGGTGTGTTTTAGAGAGGTAAGGATAATGGGATAGCTTTGACTTTATCCGACGGGATGCTGTGACATTCTTTGGAGACTGAGCTTTGATGTTCTTTAATGCGGATATTGAGGGACCTGGAGGTTTCTCCAATATAAGCTTGTCAACAATGCACCACCAACCTCAAAGACTTCAAAATCAGAAAAGTAAAAGAACCCATCGTTCAACCTCAAAAGACTCCAACCGTCAAATCAACCGTGACCAAGGCAATTACATACCCCCAGCGTACCATCAACTCAAAGACCCCAATCAGTCATTATCCTTTTGTTTATATCACTGGTTTCACCCTTTTGTTTATATGACTGACTTCACCGGTCAATTTGTTTACAACCCTTTTTGTGTACATAACAGACTTCACCAGATTTAAAGTATTTTTTACTTTTATTAAAGAACAAATTTGGTATATGCATTATTTAAAGAACAATCTTTAATATCCATGGATGGGTGGGTTTGTGGATGGATGTGTTGGTTGGATGTGTGTGTGGATGGATGTGTTGGTTGGATGTGTGTGTGGATGGATGTGTTGGTTGGATGTGTGTGTGGATGGATGTGTTGGTTGGATGTGTGTGTGGATGGATGTGTTGGTTGGATGTGTGTGTGGATGGATGTGTTGGTTGGATGTGTGTGTGTGGATGGATGTGTTGGTTGGATGTGTGTGTGGATGGATGTGTTGGTTAGATGTGTGTGTGGATGGATGTGTTGGTTGGATGTGTGTGTGTGGATGGATGTGTTGGTTGGGTGGGTTTGTTGGTGTGTGGATGGATGTGTTGGTTGGATGGATGTGTGTGTGGATGGATGTGTTGGTTGGATGTGTGTGTGGATGGATGTGTTGGTTGGGTGGGTTTGTTGGTGGGTGGATGGATGTGTTGGTTGGATGTGTGTGTGGATGGATGTGTTGGTTGGATGTGTGTGTGGATGGATGTGTTGGTTGGATGTGTGTGTGTGGATGGATGTGTTGGTTGGGTGGGTTTGTTGGTGGGTGGATGGATGTGTTTGTTGGATGTGTGTGTGGATGGATGTGTTGGTTGGGTGGGTTTGTTGGTGGGTGGATGGATGTGTTGGTTGGATGTGTGTGTGGATGGATGTGTTGGTTGGATGTGTGTGTGTGGATGGATGTGTTGGTTGGGTGGGTTTGTTGGTGGGTGGATGGATGTGTTGGTTGGATGTGTGTGTGGATGGATGTGTTGGTTGGATGTGTGTGTGTGGATGGATGTGTTGGTTGGGTGGGTGTGTGGATGGATGTGTTGGTTGGATGTGTGTGTGGATGGATGTGTTGGTTGGATGTGTGTGTGTGGATGGATGTGTTGGTTGGATGTGTGTGTGGATGGATGTGTTGGTTGGATGTGTGTGTGGATGGATGTGTTGGTTGGATGTGTGTGTGTGGATGGATGTGTTGGTTGGATGTGTGTGTGTGGATGGATGTGTTGGTTGGATGTGTGTGTGGATGGATGTGTTCGTTGGATGTGTGTGGATGGATGTGTTGGTTGGATGTGTGTGTGGAGGGATGTGTTGGTTGGATGTGTGTGTGGATGGATGTGTTGGTTGGATGTGTGTGTGGATGGATGTGTTGGTTGGATGTGTGTGTGGATGGATGTGTTGGTTGGATGTGTGTGGATGGATGTGTTGGTTGGATGTGTGTGTGGATGGATGTGTTGGTTGGATGTGTGTGGATGGATGTGTTGGTTGGATGTGTGTGTGGATGGATGTGTTGGTTGGATGTGTGTGTGGATGGATGTGTTGGTTGGATGTGTGTGTGGATGGATGTGTTGGTTGGATGTGTGTGTGGATGGATGTGTTGGTTGGATGTGTGTGTGTGGATGGATGTGTTGGTTGGATGTGTGTGTGGATGGATGTGTTGGTTGGATGTGTGTGTGGATGGATGTGTTGGTTGGGTGTGTGTGTGTGGATGGATGTGTTGGTTGGGTGGGTTTGTTGGTGGGTGGATGGATGTGTTGGGTGGTAGGGTGGATGGATGTGTTGGGTTGGTGGGTTTATGGATGGATGGATAGAAGGATTTGTTACTTGGGTGGGTTTGTGGATGGATGGTTAGATGGATGTGTTGGGTGGCTGGGTTTATGGATGGATGTAAGGATTGGTTGGTTGGTGGATGGATTGATTGATGAATGAAAGATGTGGTAATGGATTGGTCGATAGATGATGGATTGATGGATTGATGGCGGGGATTGATTTTCAGTGCACTCCTCCCTACAGCAAGGATAAGACTTAAAAACAGAACATAATAAATGTAACGTTGTGAGAAGAAAGTGCAGATCCAATTATAAAACAAAGCTGCAATACTCTCCATAGCCGTATTTTCAGGACATAAAGCAAGCATACGAATCGAAAAAAATGTACATTGTAACGAAACATTTTAAAATGCCCTTGGGGGGCACGGGGGACCCAGTCGTCTAAGGCGCCGCGATTCGCTGTGCAGAGTTGCGTCCCTTGGGCACGCCAGAACCCTATGATTGTGGGTTCGAATCCAGGTTCGCCCCGATTGTGTTTCTAGGTTTGTCAGCACCATACCCGTGCTCGTTGGTTTCACCGAAGTGGTAAACGTCTGAGACCTGCATCACTTCGTGCTTTCCTCCCACATTAAGCTGACACGCCTTGATATAACTGGAATACTGTTAAAAGCGGCGTTAAACCCAACTCACTCACTCACTCAAATGCCCTTGGGGCATAACAATTTGTCAACATTTGTACAATGATATGAAGCAAGCGTAAGACTTGAAAAGAAATTGATGTCCATTGTAATGAAAAGTCTTAAAATACAATTGGCCCACAACAATGAAACAAAGCTGTAATGTCCTGCAAAGGCACATTTACACGACACGTCAGGGGACTATTCTGTAGATGGAGATCCTCCACGGACCTCCACACCCAGTGCCTCTATTGCCTGAACATCGAGCGGAGCATTCATAGTCGGCCTTCAGAGTGTACCCTGTCTTGATGACGTCACCACAAAAGCATTCGCTTCCGTCCTGGAAAAGATGGATAATATATAGGATCTGTATTACTGTACCCATAATGCAGCACTGAGCACGTTGTCGTATAATTAGCTATCAACATGCTTAAAGCATCCAACAGTCAGTGAGTGAGTGAGTTGGGTTTAACGCCGCTTTTAACAGTATTCCAGTTATATCACGGCGTGTCAGCTTAATGTGGGAGGAAAGCCCGAAGTGATGCAGGTCTCAGACGTTTACCATAATCGGGGCTAACCGGGATTCGAACCCACGATCATAGGTTCCTGGAGTGCCCAAGGTACGCAACTCTGCACAGCGTGTAGCGGCGCCTTAGACGACTGGGCCACCCGTGCCCCCATGTTGGTATAGAATGATGTATGCATATGTATATCAACTCAATATCAATAATTAACTCATTAATATTGTGAAACCAACGAACACGGTTATGGTGCTGACAAACCTAGAAACATAATCGGAGCGAACCGGGATTCGAGCCCACAATCATAGATTTCTGGCGTTCCCAAGGGACAGCGAATCGCGCCGCCTTAAGCGACGGGGCCACCCGTGCCCCCCAATAGTAAAGGAACATTTGAGAGAATGATGAATATGACAAATCTTTTAGCTCGATGTCTGTCGGACAGGGGTAACGTTTTTGGATATATACTTGAAAAAAGTAAGGGGTCATAAATGTTTTTCGGGATATTTTTACGAAATTGTATTCTCAGTATAATCCATATCCCAAAATATATTCATGATTCCTCGCACGTTTTGCTTAGTATATATATCAGAGGTACTTGCTTATAGCTACGTCAGACCGCCTCCTTGGTCTAGTGGTAGAGCGTCCGCACGGAGAGCGGAAGATCCAGGGTTCGATCCCCGACCGCGTCATACCGAAAGACGTTAAAAGATGGTACTTGTTGTTACCCTGTCTGGCGCTCGGCATTTAAGGGCTAAAACAAGGACTGGTCGGCTCGGAGTCAGTATACTGTGTCTGAGTGGGGTATTCATGTTAAACTGCGGCATGGTATCTCAGTGAGCTAGCACTATAAAATGGCATCAGTCCGGACTAGTACAAGCAGCCACACACACATACACGTACATGCACGTCGCTATATAAGTGCAATAATCTTGGACGCGACGTTAAACCCCATTTCACCTCACCTTATAGCTACGTCACGGATCAAAATCAACCTCAAGCTTCCAGTTTCAGGTTAAGTTAGTGTTCCTAGTAAGGTCCTCTGTTTACCCGCCACTAGTACAAGGCAGGCAGATTGGTGTTTGCCAGTATGGAATAATATAATACCCTGGCTAACTAAAGATGATGTAATGTAACTCTTGACTCTGCAGTGATAACATTGCAGTCTGTGATATAACGCATAATCAACTTAATTTGAAAAATTGGAAAATTAAATTTTCGTGTTGAAAAAACATTGAAAGAGATTCTAACCCGAACGACGACATTGTTGTGTTTGTTTATCGCCTGCCTAAATACACAGAACAACTTACAGTAAACTACGGTTATAACGAACTCAAAGGGACTACTATTTTTAGTTCGTTATAACCGTAGTTCGTTATAAGCATATATACAGAATAACTACAGCAAATAGTCGGGACTAAAAAGAAAGTTCGTTATATCCGTCAGTTCGTTATAAGCGTGTTCGTTATAACCGTAGTTTACTGTATGATCATGTCCTATAGCTGGCAGGTGATCATGGAGCTGATGGGGACCTATTCCCACATATGATACCCAAGTTTGTTATATCAGTCAGTTCGTTATAAGCGTGTTCGTTATAACCGTAGCTTACTGTAATTCAATCTGTGTGGCCATTGTGTCAAATTTGACCCACTTGGAGAAAAGGGATCTTATAGTTGCTCGGATACGATTGTGCTATGACGTCGTAAAGACGTTTGACGCCAACTTCCTTCAGTTCAGATTGTCATACGTGATGTCATGTATCTCTGTAATATATATGAATGAAAGCTTGTGAATTGTATTTTGTGTGTGTTAGAGGGATGGTGTAGTTATATATAAATAAAACATAATGAAAGGTAAAAAAATGACTCTTCACCCATAAGGTCCCTTATCTAGTGGCTGGTCACAAAAAGTACAAAGAATCGAATATGCGTTTTCTAGGTGTCTGCGTATACACTGAGGGGAAATGATTCTGTACTACATTGCTTACCTCAAGAGGACAGATTCTAACACGCAGCCTACCTCGACTCCAAAGTGGGTGTAGTTGCCGTAGCAATTCAACATGCATGTTTCGGTTGTCATCGTAGTCCTGTCGACCAGGTGACCATGTGGAAGTACACGTTTCCAGTCATCCATGTAACACCCGAGGTATGTCCCGCACTCTGCATCATCATCATCATCATCATCATCATCATCATCATCATCATCATCATCATCATCATCATCACCACTACCATCATCATCATCATCATCATCATCATCATCACCACCACCACCACCATCACCACCAACACCATCATCATCATCATCATCATCATCATCATCATCATCATCATCACTACCATCATCATCATCATCATCATCACCACCATCACCACCAACACCATCATCATCATCATCATCATCATCATCATCTCCACCACCATCATCATCATCATCATCATCATTAATTCCCCAAATGGGTACAATGTATGAAGTCTGTTTGCGGTTTCCCCCGCCGTGATATTACTGGAATATTGCTCACTCACTCACTCACTCTATCATCACTCACTCACTCACTCACTCACTCACTCACTCACTCTTTTGCAAATAACAGGATTTTATAACAGGATTTTATGAAAAACGAAATTAGATCCCCAAATGTCATGAACACCGAAAACAATGCATTGCGATTGTACGTATTGAATTGCAGCGATCGCATTTTGATTTAAGAGCAGGGAAACGAGTGCATGGTTCAGGTTGAAGGTAGCTTTGAACAATATTTCAGTTGTGTCACTACATCTCAGTTCGTTGTGGATGAAACTCCCAATTACCGGATCAAGGTATGGCAAAGGGATACAATCCCCCCCCCCCCCCCCCCACACACACACACACACACACATTATAAGTCGATGATTAACCTATTTGATCAGACACTTTGTTCAATATAATGGCACATGGTCTTGAAACTGATTTCCCCCAAGTTGAATTCTTGGGAAAGGTGATCCACGATTCCTGTTCGGTAAGTATTATCATGTGGCGCCATTGTTCTGTAACGCTTTGACGTGGCAAATCATTTCCCGTTGTGTAGGGCTAGAGGAAGCTAAGAATCTCAATATGTTTAAACGTTTGACATTGAATATATTTAAAGTATCTAGAGACAAAAAATGCACGTCATGTTTTATGTTTACCGTTATCGTTTACTGACAGACTTGTCACAGCACATGTGTAAGACGTTGTCGTCGTGGCAGTTGTCGTAGTTGTAGATGCAGCAGGAGAGGTTGTTGACACAGTCGTTGTAGTAGGAGAGGTTGTAGGCATTGATGTAGATGTTGTAGCAGTTGTAGATGTCGTTGTCACAGCAGACGTGGGAGGAGTTGTTGTAGGCAGTGATGCAGAGGTTATGGCCGGGAAGGTTGTTGTTGTGGCTGACTGAGATGTAGACGTCGATGCAGCAGTTGTAGACGTCGATGCAACAGTATTAGACGTCGATGCAGCAGTTGTAGACTGGAAGAATGTCCCCAGTGGTGTCGTCACAGAAGTTGCAGGAGAATTCGTTGATGATGTGATTGCAGATGTCGCTGTGGGTGGCCCAGTTCTGGTAGTCGTCGGCGTAGTGGCAGCGACTGAAGCCACAGACGCGGGTGTCATTCCAAGACAAATATGGCCAGACCCCGCCTCAACAGGCACGCAGGTCTTGTGGGTGCCACATAAGCGACTTCCACAAACAGAACTCCGAGGGTTTACCTGTGAAGACAGATTACTTCTTTGAGAGTTCTAAGTTAGGATAAGATGCATGGATGAACAACTTCTTGATTTCAATCAGTAGCGACGTTTCGGTGTAGGTTCTAACACCGTTATCAATCAAGTCATCACATGCTTGACAACGGTGTTAGAACTTACACCGAAACGTCGCTAATACTTGTAATAAAGAAGTTGTTCATCCATATATCTTATCCTTACTGAAAAAGGTAATATTGCTCTGTTTATAATACAAGATTCCATGGAAGTAAGTTGATGAACTTCATATTATCTATAACTGCCATCGGTATCATACATGTTCACAAATTGACAATAAATTAACCATGGAAACACAGACATATGAGAATTTTGTTTTCAGTAATCAGGAAAACAAATCAAACCGTTCAATCTCATTGTTTTCTTTTCATTGTTTTCGAGGAGACCCATAGCAGTGTGATTACATATTAAAACACTGTCGCAAAAAGTGGTAAAAATAATATGTTATACATTGTTCCTGGATTTAACGTGACGTTCAAACAATAGAGGGACCACTTCCGTTTAGAGGGGCCACTTCCGTTTAGAGGGACCACTTCCGTTTAGAGGGACCACTTCCGTTTAGAGGGACCACTTCTGTTTCCAGGTGGAACTAACTTCTGATGGAGAGCGGAAGGTTTGTTGTTCGAACCCCGGCATTTAGGCATTTAAGAGGATAAAACAAGGACTGTATACTGTGTCTGAATGAACACACACACACACACACACACACACACACACACACACACACACACACACACACACACACACACACACACACACACATGCACACACACACACACACACACATATGCACGCACACACACACACACACGCGCGCGCGCGCACATGCACACACACACACACACATATGCACGCACACACACACACACGCGCACATGCACACACACACACAGAGAAACACACACACACACACACACAGAGACACACACACACACACAGACAGACACACACACACGCAATGGCCAAAGGAATATTTAAATCAGCTGGAAGGATTATTTTATGACATATCAGTACAGAGAGATATAGAACCATGTATAGTAATGTGTATAGTACTGTATATAGTACTGTGTATAGTTCTGTGTATAGCACTGTGTATAGTACTGTGTATAGTATCATGTATAGTACTGTGTATAGCACTGTGTATAGTACTGTGTATAGTATCATGTATAGTACTGTGTATAGCACTGTGTATAGAGCTGTGTATAGAGCTGTGTATAGTACTGTGTATAGCACTGTGTATAGTACTGTGTATAGTACTGTGTATAGTACTGTGTATAGTACTGTGTATAGCACCATGTATAGTACTGTGTATATCACTGTGTACAGTAATGTGTATAGTACTGTGTATAGTATCATGTATAGTACTGTGTATATCACTGTGTATAGTACTGTGTATAGTACTGTGTATAGTACTGTGTATAGTATCATGTATAGTACTGTGTATATCACTGTGTATAGTACTGTGTATAGTACTGTGTATAGTTCTGTGTATAGCACTGTGTATAGTACTGTGTATAGTATCATGTATAGTACTGTGTATAGCACTGTGTATAGTACTGTGTATAGTACTGTGTATAGTATCATGTATAGTACTGTGTATAGCACTGTGTATAGTAATGTGTATAGTACTGTGTATAGTACTGTGTATAGCACTGTGTATAGTACTGTGTATAGTACTGTGTATAGTACTGTGTATAGCACCATGTATAGTACTGTGTATATCACTGAGTATAGTAATGTGTATAGTACTGTGTATAGTATCATGTATAGTACTGTGTATATCACTGTGTATAGTACTGTGTATAGTACTGTGTATAGTACTGTGTATAGTATCATGTATAGTACTGTGTATATCACTGTGTATAGTACTGTGTATAGTACTGTGTATAGTATCATGTATAGTACTGTGTATATCACTGTGTATAGTAATGTGTATAGTACTGTGTATAGTATCATGTATAGTACTGTGTATATCACTGTGTATAGTACTGTGTATAGTACTGTGTATAGTACTGTGTATAGTATCATGTATAGTACTGTGTATATCACTGTGTATAGTACTGTGTATAGTACTGTGTATAGCACCATGTATAGCACCATGTTTAGTACTGTGTATAGTACCATGTATAGTACTGTGTATAGTACTGTGTATAGCACCATGTATATCACTGTGTATAGTACTGTGTATAGTACTGTGTATAGCACCATGTATAGTACTGTGTATATCACTGTGTATAGTAATGTGTATAGTACTGTGTATAGTATCATGTATAGTACTGTGTATATCACTGTGTATAGTACTGTGTATAGCACCATGTATAGTACCATGTTTAGTACTGTGTATAGTACTGTGTATAGTACTGTGTGTCATACTATGAACAAGGTTATAATGGGGTTGACTGATCAATAAAAACCCACAACTCACAGTTTACAAATGACCTGTTAAAGGTGTTTATAACATCTAATAGGCTTCCACGCCACCGTGACTTGCTAATGTTCTCACCCGCTGTTAATAATGTGAGGCTGTACGTTATTAGGGCGCACAAAGCTTCACAAAGCGACACTCTGCACTTTGTTTCACACATCACGTGTCCTACACAACCCGCCCTTCTTTCAGATCAGTTACTCATTGCATAACTAAGAGTGTGAAGTGAAATTCACAGAAGCTTCCCAGGTCATAAGAATTCCAGCAGGTGTTGTACTCTGCGGGCACCTAGCCATCCCCATTTTATCGTTTTTCTCTTAAAAAAGGTCTACGTTATTGGCACTGTTAAAAGTATTAAAAAAACAAAAAATTACCAATCAAAGTCACAACGGTTTTACATCATTCAAACTCTTCTGGGAGGACCTTAACAAATACGTTTTAAATTCTATAAATCTCGCTATGGAAAGACAAGGACTGACCACATGCAGATACAATGGAGAAGAAACTCTATGAATATAGAACGGAATGGAATCAACAGGAAAGGTGTCATTTAAGTCCTCGAATTCAGTACCTGTCGACCTTTAGTTCAAACGTATGTTAATTATCTCCATAATGATATCCACTCATGCATACTAATCGATGGATTTGCAATTGAAGTCTTTGAACTGCACCGCGACTGTCGTCATGGAGATCCCTTGACGTCATACGGGTTTTACAGCGTGTTTAAATGCTGTTAAGAAATGAAATTATTATAAAAGGAATTCCTACAGAGAAGGTAGAACATATATCAGGCCTGTCCTCAAGTGTCATGCAAATTGTCCAGGGTTAAATACATAATGCAAAATTACATTGTTTTCAGTAGGCAAAAAACGCCTTTAACAAAACTTACATGCGTGCACAAGTTGGAATTTGGAATTCGAAGCAGTCAGAGACATTATTAATCAACGGAAATTCCATGTGAATTTAGATAATATGATAGTTGAAAATATTGACGCAAATTGAAAATCTTTTTAGAACATGGTCAATCAGCGCCTCAGCTATATTTGGAAGAAATACCATCTCGAAAACAATATTGCTCACAAAACCTTATCGCCGACACTCTCTCCATATACATCAAATGAGCAAACGAATTGTTTTATTTGGAAGTGTGAGTGAGTGAGTAGGGTTTTACGCCGCTTTTAGCAATATTCCAGCAATATCACGGCGGTGGACACCAGAAATGGGCTTCACACATTGTACCCATGTCGGGATTCGAACCCGGGTGTTCGGCGTGACGAGCGAACGCTTTAACCACTAGGCTACCCGACCTTCCAAACTATGGAAGACGATGCAATCGTACAAACCTTAACGGATTAAAGGATGGAGAAACGGTAGTGCTAGCTTATCTGTCTTTTTCATTATAGTTTAGGGGGCACGGGTGGCCCTGTCGTCTAAGGCGCCGCGATTCGCTGTGCCGAGTTGCGTCCCTTGGGCACGCCAGAAACCTATGATTGTGGGTTCGAATCTCGGTTCGCCCTGATTATGTTTCTAGGTTTGTCAGCACCATACCCGTGCTCGTGGGTTTCACTGAAGTGGTAAACGTCTGAGACCTGCATCACTTCGGGCTTTCCTCCCACATTAAGCTGACACGCCGTGATATAACTGGAATATTGTTAAAGGCGGCGTTAAACACAACTCACTCACTCACTCATTATAGTTTATCAGTAAGAACAATGCATATAGTTGATACATTCACAACTAATACAAACTGTAATTCCAAGGATGGAAATCAATTTTGGAAAGATGTAATCATTGCATGGGTTAATTATTTAAAAGTTCTTGAAAGAGTGAGTGGTTGAACAGTATTTTAGTTATATCACGGCCTGTCAGCATAATGTGGGAGGGAATCCCAAAGTGATGCAGGCCTCAGACATTTACCACTTTGTGAAACCCACGGGTATGGTGAAGTAAGACAAGTTCTATGGATGAACACCTTTATCAAGCAAGTGATGGATAGTGCTTACTTTCTTACTTACTTACTTACTTTGCAGATTTAACGTGCGCTTTCCGACTGATGCGTATTTCGCACACGGGCCCGGCCAGGCCATTTAATGTGTTTCCGAAAGGGGCGAAAGTGGTCTGTGCAACCCAAGAGGGGGGTTTAGGGGTTGCTTATATAGAATTTGGGAATTTTGAGATTTGGAATAGATGCCGATGGGGTTGGGGAGGAGAACTAAGGGAGCTGGGTATGGTGGATGTTTGTTTGTTTATGTGATTTTGATTTGGTAGGTTATTGTGTGTTTAGATGCGTTTTATTAGTTCCGTTTTTATTAAGAATACGCCTAAGGCCTTGATGTTTTCTAGTTTATTTTGTGGGTTTAGTATTGCTTCTAGAGTGAGAGCCTTGTTTAGATTGAGGGTGGTTTGTAATGCGGTTCGATGTGTTAGGTAGTGTGTGCAGTGGATGAGTGCGTGTTCTGGGGTTCTAGTTGTTTGCAGTGTGGGCAGTAACCTTTAGTGTGTTTTTTTAGGTGGTTATTTAGGT